AAAGGCCCCCACCTGGCCTGGACAATGGCAGGGAGTGCGACCTTCTCCCGTAAGCAATGAGGCCTTGAGCCCCAGCCTCCGCTGAGGGGAGGTGCTTCAAATCTGTCCCCACATACCAGACCCAGTTGCTCCCATCTGTCTCCCGTGCCCAACCCGGCCTCTTGGCTGGGACGCCCCACTCTCAGTCTTCAAGGGCTATGAAGACGAGAGAGCATGGCCCCTTGGTCACAAATGTGGCCTCTGGGTCAGACAGGCTGGGTTCAGATCCCAGGTGTGCCTTTCCTGGGTGTAACTCAGGGCAGACTGCATCGCTTCCCTGTGCCTCGGTCTGTTCCCCTGTAAAGTGGAAATATGCCTTCGGAGGAGTGAGATGAGGGTCAAGAGGACAGTAGGTGTGGAGCCCTTTAGCACAGGGCCTGCCTGGCCCATGGGGGAGTCCCTCTGGGGTGTAAAGTTCCATCTAAAATTCAAATAAACTTATAGATATATACGTAGGGGCCAGCAGTATATAATGCAGCCAGAGAGATCAATCTTTATTGATTCATTTATTTATCTTTTGGCTTTTCTATACTGCTGCCCCAGGGAAATTCCTGCCGCTGGAGTCTAGGGCTCCAAGCCATTTCCTGCCTGATTCACCTAAGCTGGCTTGAGGAGAGTTCCTGTTTCATGGAATCGATAGAACCCTGCCCAGAACAGTCTTCCTTCTCCTTTCGTCCATCTCGCACTCCAGCCAAGCAGGACTTGACTCTTTCTCGGCCTTGAACCTTTACCTCATGCTCCTGACCACACCAGGAACAGCACTATCCACCTCGCCCCTCCATTTCCACAAGAGTCTATCCTTTGCTTTTTCAGAGTCCTCATTCCGCACCACACCTCTCCCAAACCTCCCCACAGGCCACCCGGCCACCTGGCCACAGAACCCTCCAGTGCTGCCCAAGTCCAGTTACCGCCCACTGGCATCTCCGCTGTGGAAGGACCAGCCCAGGCTCCGTCATCTATCTGCCCCAGCCGCTGAGCAAAGCCCTTGTCTCCTCCCAGCTTAGCTTCCACCTGTGCAGAAGGGAGATACCACTGCCAGGACGGCCTTTTGAATGGAATTATTGTGAGGCACAAACCAGAAAATGTGTGCAATGACTGAAAACTTTAAAGTGCTTTCCAAACACATAAGCGCTTTCCCAAGATGCTCCAAAGACTGTAAAGTAATTTGAAAATGAACCTGTAGCCTCTTTATTCCATATCCCTGTCTCCTTTAAAATCCACTGGGAACTCTGAAGAATAGGAAATTCCAGGGGGCCCCACAAACCCACCAGCCATGCAAGCCAAGCTCCAGAAGTACCTGGCAGCTGAACCTTTGTCGCAAAGGAGCAGAGCCGACACCGTGGCGCTCCCGCAGCCTCTCAGCTCCTCATCCCTAGAGCATTCGGTTCCAGGACTTGGAAAACACCCTCTCCAAGTCTACCCATAAATCTGAATTTCAAATGTTCTGTGGTCCGCAATAAGTCATTTGCATAAGGGGCTGGTTGGAAGGAGCACAGCAGGATCCAAGAGGGGAAAACACAATGCAGTAGCCCAGATTTAATTTGAGCAGCCAAAGTGCACAGAGAAATCCTTAGTCCACTGTGAAAAGGAACCAGAGCATCTTTTTACATCTCCCTTCGCCGCCTGTGAAAATCGTGATGTAGAGGGGCTGTAAATTATGGCATCTCCAGCTAATTTTACACGACACAGATACAAACGACTTTATTTTTCCTAATTGTGGAAAAGAATGAAATCGCCTTCCCCTCCTTCTATCCATGTTCTCTATCCAAAGGTTCTAATTTAAAACATTTGGTGGAAAAATAATACTGGGGCATTGTTCTTAAGGAAAAAAAATTCTAATCACTTGGAGTTTAATTCTAATATGCAGAGAACATAAGCTTATCCTGTGTGATGGTACAATGACAAAATGAGTTAATTACCAACTCATCGTAAGACAGATGTACTTGTCAGAGAAACAGGAGCCATTATTTCACACAAAATAATGACCCAGATAAAAAGTAATGACTGCAAGCTGTAGCCGCCAGTGACACAGCTTCATCTTGGCCTAAGTGAATGGCAATTAACAAGTGCCACCACCATATACATACATGGGGACCAACCTATTCATCAAGTATTCACTGAAAAAACACAAATGGTGTTTAGTGTATTTCTTCCCAGGAAGCTCCTGTGGTCATCTACCTGTGTGATGACAGAAAAATTTACAACCTGTAAAATTCTGCCATCAGCTGGAACAGCTGTCGCCCGTACAGAGGAGCTTTGGGCTCCCCTCTGCTCTTTGCACGCTGAGGAGGTGTTTTCTCCAGAAATCCTGTCCAATGACAGAAAAGAGGAGCAGAGGAAAGGGGGCCCATTTGTCTCTCTTCTCCTGGTTGTCATGGACACTGGCCTAGAAACTGAAGCCGCAGCCAGCACTGACAGTCCACAAATGCTGGAGACTTCCAGGGCCAGCCCTCGGCCGTGAGAGTGCAGGGGCGAATGGTGGGGCGACTTCAGCACACCTGGGTTGCAAGGCGGGAGGCCTGTCCTCCCTTGCTGACCCTGACCACGAACCACCTCTCTATGGACAAGAACAGAGATGAGAGGCTCCAGCATACACATCTGGAGACAAACTCTGGGTCAGAAATCTCAGGATTGCTCTACTGGGCAAGTTGTCTAGTCTGTCTGGATCCAATAGTTTTTACTGGAAAACTAGGTATACGGTAGGTACAGGATGACATGGTAGGCTTTAAAGTATATAATTCTTGGCCCTCACCAGGTAGCTCAGTTGGTTAGAGCATCGTCCCAATACACCAAGGTTGCAGGTTCGATCCTCGGTCAGGGCACAGACAAGAATCACAATGAATGCATAAATAAGTGGAACAAATCAATGTCTGTCTGTCTGTCTTTCTCTCTCCATCTTCTTCTCTCTCTCTCTCAAATCAATTTAAAAGGTTTAAAGTGTCTAATTTTTAAAACGTTAATAACAAACAGAATCAGCAGGAGTCAATGGCTCATCTAACTAATTATGGAATGAACCATCAGATACTGCTGTGCACACACACTTACTGTGGGGGAAAAAGACCAGTGCGATAAGAGTTAAAGTCTTAAATAGAAACTGGTTCACCCTTCGGGGTATATAAAGCATACCTCTGATGTTCTCTCCTCCTCTGTTGGAGAGCTGCCCATCAGAGATACACTTCAGACACGAGAGACCCACACAGCATCTGAGTGCCTGCTAATCAGGACACTGTCTCCTTAAAACCTGATAAGGGCAACATGCAATGGGGCAGCCACGCGATGGTCAGGCTTGGTAAAGACCAAAGCACTAAAGCACATGTTTTGAAAAGAGCACATTTGATAGTATGGCCAGAGCCTCATGCCCTCTTCTTACCCACTTACCCTCAAATCATACAAGCATCCCAGTCTTAATTACAAAACCATTTCCCAAATGACTTTTCCCCCAGTACTCAGATCACAGCATAAATCCCACCCCTCAAACGTCCCTACCCAAGTTTATCAGAACACTTTACTTGCAGCAATCAGAAGAGGACAGTCCTATTTAAACAGACATCTATAGGACTTTGCGCAAACACTCGTGTTCTCAGGCTTATACATATGTGAACAAAAATTTCTTTCCCCTCATTTTCTAGGTAATAATCTGAATTTTACCAGAGTAGAAAGAGTCTGCACCATCCTAGTAAAATTACCAGAAATTTTGACCTAAGAGATCATGTGATTCCTGGTCCTCAGCCTTGGCCCCTCCCATGCATGAGTGGTTATTCCCAGGGCCTTGTAAAGCCGGATCACTCAATAAATGTCGAAGGAAGGGAAGCAGGAAGAGAACAACAAAAAAAGAATCACTGGTGTGTAAAGGGACAATCTAATTATTTTACTCTGCTGCAAAATTCCTCTCAACAGCCTCCCACTGCTTTACAGCCAGTCCTGGCCCCTTCTCCCACCCCTAACACACGCTCCCTGTCTTCCCCAAGACCCTCTGATCTGCTGACTCCCTCCGCTCCCTCCTGCCTCGGGCCCTGGCACAAGCTGCTCCCTCTGTCTGGAGAGCCCCCCATCTGCCCAGCCCAGCACCAGGGAACCCTTCCTCACCCTTTCGTCTCAGCCCCAGGTCCTCGTGACACCCCTTTCAGGGTTTACCTGCCTTTTGGGAGGGCAGAGGGGCAGGGACCACGCCTACTTTGTCCTCTGTATCCGAGCACCAAGGCCAATTTCTGGCCCAAAGTTAGAAATAGCCAACACAGTTATTAGTGAATTCACTAGTTGACCGACTGGATCTCAAACAAATCATAATCACCTCTGCAGGGTGGGCAATGGCCAGTTCTTGTGGAAGACTGGGTGTGGGAGAACAAGATAAGCATGAAGCAATGAACTGAGCCCCATTTGGGCAAGGGCAGTCCTTCTGCAGTAAATGCCATCATCAAGCGCACTCTGCGATTGGGAGGAAACCTCACACGGCACGAAGAGGAATTCAAACCAGACCCGCTTCTGAGCAGAGAAGGAATCCCCTGCAACTAGGGGATTCCCTGATTCAACTGCATGCCAGCAGCCACAGGACTCTGGTGCACTCCTATGCTAAGAAAGGAAGGGGACTGGTGGCCATGGAGACCCCCAGGGTGAGTGGAAGGTGGGATGTTGGGGGGGTTTACACCACCTCAAGGATTTGAGGGGAATCATAGCAGAGGGGCTGCAGGCCTGGCAGCCGTTAACGTCACTCCAGCCTTAAAAGGCAGGGTCCAGGGTCCTGCCAGCCGGGGAGGAAGGGGAAGCCACATCCCTTCAGAGTCAGCTTCAGCCTCAGCAATGTGTGGGAGGGAGCTGCATCCCCGTGGGGTCAGCCCGGGTCAGAAGACGCCTGGCTCCAGCCCAGCCCGCAGAGGGTATGGCTGACCTACCCGGAGCCAGCCCCTTGCCTGTTCTCTCGGGGGACAGGACCTTTGCAACTGTACCCTGACGGCAGGGCTCACCTTCTTAATGAACTCCGGGATGATTTTTTGGTCCGTCAGGTGAAGTAAGGAGGAACAGCAATCTAACTCCAAGACGTAGGCTTCATTGTGAAGATCGGCTTTCTGGGATCTGAAGAGAAAGGAAAAACACACAGGCAAAGATTACCGTTTTCACAATATTAAGAAAAAAAAGGTGTAGGTGTTTACTAAAACCCTACATTATTTCCTGCAAATACATGCCAAAAGTGCACAGCTGAAAAATAATTTATGGTAAACAACTCAAATCATATAGAGAGATCACATCACAGTAAGGCCTCCCAGACAAGCCATCAAATCAAAGACATCGTTTTAGAATGAAGGGGTGAGCACAGTATGCAGCTTACACATTCAACAACACACACGCAGTCTCCAGTAATGTATCTTTAATACATTAGCTCTGTCTCTTTCCCTGTATCTCTAATTTTTCCCACTTTTTCTGAAGAGAATATATTCATATATTCATCACTTAGGAAATTTAAAAATATTTAAGACTTTTAAAGCATTCACTCCCTATAGAGGGCAATCTGGCAAAATCTATCAAAATTAAAGATGCATTAAGAAAAGACTATAAGGCCACTGAAGTAGAAATTCTGGGAAAAAAGTGATGGCTGAGGCTCTGGCTGGTGTGGCTCCATTGGCTGGAGCCACTGTCCCGTGGACTGAAAGGTTGTGGGTTCGATCCCTAGTCAGGGTACATACGAGAAGGCAAACAATTGATGTTTCTCTCTTTGTTTCTGTTTCTCTCTCCCTACTTCTCTCCTTTCCGCTTTCTCTAAAAGCAATGAAAATAAAATGTCCTCGGGTGAGGATTAAAAAGCAACTGGATGGCTGAGGGAAACCCCTGCAGCCTTCCGGCCAGTGCAGAGGTGTTGAGCATGCCCCTGCCATTGCCCCACACAGCGGGGGTGGGGGGTGGTTCTCTCTGCCTTTCTCACCATGTGGACATGCGCATGGTGCAATGCTGTGCACACTCAGAACCAGAGGCAAGTCCTCAAGAGAAGGACATTCTGCCACTTCCACCATCCCTTTCAGGAGCACCTGTATGACACTAACTTGGGTCTAGGAACTCCTGAAAGCCACATGGCTGGTGATTCCTTGGCCCAGGCAGGTGTAAGGCAACGGGAAGTAGGGCTGTAGTTAAGGGTCGACAGAACACACTGTCTCTTCATGGGGAGTGGGACTTAAGAGACCCAGGCCCTGGGCTCTGTCCACGACTCACACCACATGCACAGCCACTCTCCACTGGCTGAGAGGCTGAGAAGTCCACTTACCAGGGGCTCCACTAGGCCAGCCTCTGTGAGAGCAAATGTGGCCAGAAAATTCTTAAGAAGTGAGCATTTTCATACTGAACTCCTGAGATACATATATCCCACTGAAAAGTTTCACGTGCGTATGTGCTATAATACTTTTAAATGAATTTCTAAGCTTCCTATATATCATTCAAAGCAATTCATGCTACTATTAACCATCTGGGTATGATTTACATGAAACTCAAAAGTGAAAATATTAAAGGGGCTTTGGTTTTCCCCAGGTGTGCAACTGTGATTGGGTGAGCAAACAGCAAGGGCATATTCTGATTTTATTATTCCTCCTAACATATCTTTTCAGGAGTAGAGACTCAGGCACATACTTTCGAAATATAAAAGAATAAACTGATTCCAAACTGCTCAAACTGGGATAAACTAATTCCAAAAGAATAAGCCAATTCTGCGCTCCACTCTTCTTGCCTTGAAAACTTCATCAAAGACTAGGTTCCTGTTCTCATTTTCCCCCTATGTTTTTTATCCCACCCCCTCCAAACAAAAGGCATACTAAGAGGAACTAAGGCAGAAGATTCCAGACTTTCGAAAGGGAAGACTTGGCCATGACATACCATCAGATGTTTTGTGTGGGGTCCCAAACCACAAGGAGAGGCGTGGGAGGCAGAGAGGTCTAAGATGGGAAATCCCAGCTGCTCTGTCACACCGAGACTCACATCGGACTCCAGGAGGTTATTTATAAATACCCACTGGGATTTTAAAAGACTGGGTTGAAAAACAGTGATCATTTTAAGTAAGTCAAGACTGGATTTACTTGGTTAAACACCCATCCAATGAATGGAGGGAAGAGTCTGTGTTTAAGCAACTCACACCCAGACTTGTGAGAGATCTCCATTAGTACAGGATGTAACAATGACCTTCTTTGCTTCTGGAACGAGAATTCTATAGGAAGAAAGATAGCCCTGGGGCACCCTGTCAGATAACTATCTCGGTTACAACTGAACTGAAAGAGGTATAAAACAGCAACAAAAATCAGCATTGTTGTAAGTTTTCTAGATGAAACATGAAAAATCGTATCTCAGTCTCTGGTCTCTTGAAAAAGCAAATCCGATGCACATTGGAGCAATAGATGAGCAACCAACAAGTCTCCCGTTGCCTTTAGGAATTACCTCCACTGTTTGAAATGAAGGGATAGTAACACCAAAGAGTGTGTGAGGGGAGAGGAGGTGGCAAAGACTTCGAAATCCTCTCAGAAGAGCTGCTGGCTGCCCAAGCCTTTGAAGTCAGCGCCCTTGTGAGGGTGCTGGGCCAGTGCTGGGTGGAGGGCACAGTCACACAGAACCCTCCCCCTGCCACAAACCCTGTGAAAAACAGCATCAAACACAAGCAAAGGACTGCCTGCAGGGCTGCTAGAAGGAGTTTCTGGGCTCCTCGGCACTATAGGGGTAAGGGCGGTTATTGTGGCGAACCCACCCTGAGGGGACCCCCAGTGATCCCCACTTCCTAGAGTTCAAGCCTTTGTACAATTCTTCCCACTGAGAGGGGGAAGGTCCTGAGACTTGCTTCCAATCAACAGAACGCAACAAAGGGGATGGGATGTCACTCCCAGGGTTACATTATGCTGTGAGCCTGGAGCTAGAGACTCCCCTTGCTGGCCTCGAAGAACCTGCCATGTTGTGAGAGGGTATGTGGCAAGGAGCTATGGGTAGCCCCTGGACAACAGTCAGCAAGAAACAGGAGTCTGGCCCTGGCTGGTGTGGCTCAGTGGACTGAGCGCAGGCCTATGAATCAAAGGTTGTTGGTTCGATTCCCAGTCAGGGCACATGCCTGGGTTGTGGGCCAGGTCCCAGGTAGGGGGTGCGCAAGAGGTAACCACACACTGATGTTTCTCTCCCTCTCTTTCTCCCTCCCTTCCCCTCTCTCTAAAAATAAAAAAAATAAAATCTATTTTAAAAAAAGGAAAGAAAAAGAAACAGGAGCCTCGGTCCTGCAACTGCAAGAAAATGAATTCCACCAACCACCCGAGGGAGCAGGGAAGCAGAGCTTTCCCCAGTCCAGCCTCTGAGTGAGACCCCAGGCCAAGCCAATGCCTGGAATGCAGCCCGAGAGACCTGACGCAGAGCACCCAGAGACATGACAGAAACTTTGGGATGATAACTGTATGCTGTTTTGAGCCACTGAGTTTGTGGACATTTGTTACACAGCCCAGAAAATGAATAATAGTTGCTGAGGAGGAAAACAAGACAGCTTCCTGCTCAGAACAGGCCTCCCCTCCCGCAGGCGGCCAGGTGCAGGCCCAGAACCAGACGATCCAGCCGGGCCCTGAGGATAAGGATCCACCTCAGAACAGTGTGGCCCCTTGAAGAATAAAATCATCTTCACACTGCTGGGTCATTTCTTAGGAAGAGCCAAGGGAAAAATTAACTAAAAAGAGTTCTGACTCATCTCATATCTTGGGGCCCTCACTTGTACGCAGCTTGGGAGAGTCGAGAGGGGTTTACTTCCAGCCGTTCCAGAGGGACTTTCTGAAAGGAAGAGGGAATAGAAGGATGTCACTGAGCAGACGCACAATGTCCTGGAAGCCAAGCATGAGTAAGACGAAATGAGTTCAATGCTTCGAGTAGCAGCTTTCAACTGGTGTGCCATGGCCCACTGGGGTGCCGCAAGGATTCTTAAAGCATGCAGTACCTGACTATTTAGTCAGGGGCACTGACCTCTTTTCCCTTAGACTGTCAAATAAAAAAATGACAACAGCCAACACAACAGCAGCCATCCAGTGTGAATGAACCAAAATTATGCCTGTTTTTCTTGGTCAGCTCAGCAAAAGATGTATTTTTGGGGGTGTGCTGTAGAATTTTATTTATTTAATTTTTTTACTGCATGTTTTTCATTACCATTTATCCCCTTTGTAAATCACTACCCCCCTCCCCCATTTTAGTAATTAGTTTATGTGTGCCATGATTTGGGAAAGGTTGAGCACTGCTGGCCTAGAGAGCAGAAACATTGTGCTAACAAAGCCCAGAACACACTAGTCCTGGCTGCTCAGGACACTGGAGAAGCAGCCAGGACCTCAGAGCCCATCAAATTTTAAAAAGCCATCATAACATGACGATGAATGCAGTGTGGTGCCCTGTTTTGCATCCAGAAGCTGAAAGAGAAGATTAATAGAAAAACTGATGAAATGCAAATAAAACCCACTATTTAGTTAATAGTGATGAACCAATGTCAGTTTCTTAGTTTTGACAAATGTACCATGGCAATGTAAAATATTAATGATGGGGAAACTCAGTGAAGGGTGTATGGAAATTCTCTATAATTCCTTTGTAACTTTTCTGTTGAATCTAAAATGATCCCCAAACAGAATTCAGTTTTTCAAAATGAAAGAAGAAAAGCCATAATATACTGGGGAGATTTGTGCATTTGTTTGTTTTTATTTTTATTCATTTTTTTAGAGACAGACAGGAGAGGGGGGAGAGAGAGAGAAACATCGACTTGCTGTTCCACCATCCACGCACTCACTGGGTGACTCTTGCCTGTGCCCCGACCGGGGTTGGAACCGGCCACCCTGGCACCTCAGGACCACGCTCCAACCAACTGAGCTACCTAGCTGGGCTGTGTTTGTTCTGATTCTACAGCACAGGTGGCAAACACAAGGCCCATGGGCCGAATCCAGCCCTCCACCTTGTTTTATCCAGCTCGGCACCTTGTTTCTACCTGGCGGCAGTGCTGAGCTCCTCTCCCCTAGTTAAGGAGTAGTTATATTTATACAGTCCTGAAATTACATTCAACCCTTTCAAAGCAACTGCAAGGCTGATGTGGCCCCCGGTGAAAA